AAATAAACTATCTAATATGGAATTACATTCTATCACAGTGCCCAAATTTTAACCCTTACAATAACAGACCACTGACTAACATTATTCTGATTTTACGTAAGAAGACAGAAACTTCATTTGTCACAACTCCAATCAGCGACAGTATCGACTTGTTACAACTACGAGGATTGTTTCGCTATGGTTCTGCTATTTTACCTCATAGCCAACTAAGATAAATAGTGTCTTGATTTTTTGGATATGCCTCAACCATTTCAGTAGATTCAAATCATTTTGTTTATCGCCTAGTATGATATTAAAAATAAGGTTGGGTACGGTATAATCTTGAAACAGTCCCCTAAGTTTAAGAAGTAAAAATATTCCATCTAACCGCTAATTTTAGCATAAGAATCTTACCTTTGAGTGTATGTGTAGTCTCAGCTGTTCAAAAGTTATCAGAGTAAAAGATCAGTGGTTTAGTAATTAAAAGACTACACTTTCAAGTTGATGAATGATGACAGAAGCGTTAACAATGACCAGTAAAACTGCTGTCCCCACAAACCACCATTTGCGTTACTGTCCGGCGCTTATTGATCACTTGCTTTAAATGAATATCACAAAGTCCTAATGAGAAGCCATGACCTGTGGAGTAGACCAAGTTGAGAGTGAGAACAAATACTCTCCAATGCATTGGATGGTTGCTATACTATATTACAAATTGCCGGAATTATGAAAATGTGTACTATTAGCTGAATGGTAACTTCCTCTCCATGAAAACCAATAGTCCTGAGCTCGATCCTTGATGGGGTCATTGATGTGCACTCGAGGAGTCCCATGGTAGGTAAAAGCTAGCTATCGATTGCTCCCTGAGTTTCCAAGGATTCTCTAGCTGGTGTCAGTCTGTGATGAATATTACCAATATCAAATGATCGTTTCATATCAAGCCGTACAGTCAGTATTGGTCAACAGAAAGCGCACCTGTTTCCTGCTATCTGGTGTACAATGAAATCAAAATCAATTTCTTACTGACGGAGTCCAAAGTTTGTCTGTTTCAGACTTTTAAAACGCTGTTCAGTTGTTCTTCATGGTAATTTAGTCTAAGGTTTTTTTCTATCACAAACGGTTTTAGGCCTTTCATTTAAAGCTGGGATACTTAACAATTTCAGCTAAGTGTACTTGTGTTTCTGTAACCAATAATTTCTCTATACAGTCTAGGATGCAATTTTGAATCCTTATCATTAAAGGGAGCTAAGAGTAATTCATGATAATCTGCTTAGTTACTTCGTAACAATTGCACCACGATCTTCTATACCTTATTAAAATCTTAAGCGTCACAAGTATTGTCTTATTCAGCCTGTTGCTGTTTTAAAAGATAGTCGAATGAAGTGATTTTCTCGTTAGTATGTTTCTTGGATGAGCCTCTGCAACAAAGTCAAATAACCGACAGCTATCATCGATCTTCGTAATCTTATTACCCTTAAATGCCTTTATCATATTAAAATGCTTAAAAACATTTCACAGAATTAGATTAATTACATTTTCTGTTTTTGATGCTAATCTCACTAAAAATCTACTGTCCACACAGTCTCATATAAGTGAGGCTAGTAAAGTACATATAAATGTCTTACAATTCTGGAGAAGTGTTTATAACCGTCTTTATTACTTTGACAGTATAAAATCTACTATAAAACGAGTTTGCCAAAAAGTTAGATAACAGTTGACAATATCTTTAACTTAAATATTACTTCTAAAATGGAAAATAGATTTGCCAACTATGCAGGATTGAATATCTACTAAAGATCTATTTGAACAGCCGGTGGGATGAAAAGTGAATAGTTACATGCATTACATTCACATCAGACACTTGAATGAAACAACTGCCAGTAATTAGGTCTATCAATGTAACCTGATAGATTATTAGACAGTTTATCACAATGTACACAGTTCGAAGATGGTCCTTCCAACAATCTGCAAACAGAAATATCCAGTCTATAGATTGTGTCTACCTCGTAACAGCAAACTCCTGACATCTCAAAAAACCTCACTATTTAATGACCGATTTGCATTGGAAGACTAAAGTTTGATTGAACAGTTAGAATGACAACTGTTGCTTAGTTTTAGCTGTCAGTATTCGTACCTTGTAGTTTATCTAAGTGAACATTGGTCAGCCAACGTGAAAATCACTGACTCATATCGAATAAAGCAGGCGTTCATCTCATCATGGTTGTATACGTTAGTATAAAGTCTGTTATTTAAGACTGTTTACTACTTGATCTATTGGTCACAGGTAAACTGACTTTTATTAAGTTCGAGGTTGGTTTTTTATTTGATAAATTTTATAATATGCTTTATTTCGTTATGCGCTTATAATTAACTAATAATTATTTCATCCTAAACACTATGACGCATAATAAATTAAGAGTTGGAAAGTTTTTCAGTTAAAATTTTAAAATTATGCATACAGAAGTATCCTAAATGAGGTATCCTTTCTTAACACTGAAAAGTCTCATACTTTGATCACAAAATCATTTTGAAACGCAGGTTTGTTCAACTTCTGAACTTTGACTACTTATTTCTTTTTATAGTATTGTCGCTAGACGTTTTCCATCTACAATAAATTTGATTATATCACCTAGTAAAAATTTCGTTCGTAATTATAGGAATTGGTAATCACGTAGTAGGAAGTAGCTAATGATGAAAGAATCTACGAATGAGGTAGATCTACTAATCACTTTCCAAGCGTGATACTCCAACTGTCTAGGAATTATATTTTTAAATAGTTAAATGCAGTCGATGTCGTAAATGAGGTCGGGATTTCTGTTGTATAGTGCTAGACCGCTGGAAATACCTGAAGTTTGAAGGAAAACTGTTTGCTCCTTAAAATTCTCATTTGAACCATATGTATCACATAATATTAACTATTTAACTACACATTCTGACACTCATTCATCTTTTGTGCAGTGAAGATACTTCGCTAATAGGTTAGTAGACGTTATTGATAGATAGTGGCTATCAGTGGAGACCAGTCTGCGCGTTTCGTTGTGTTTGAGACTCGTCAGCTGAATATACCTGCCTCCTAGTCAGTGATATTGTTCCCGCTGAGACTCTAACTTACAACCCATCACTTCAAACGTCAGAGCGTTATCCGCTAGGCCGCTCAGTGATTTGGATTGCACTGCTAGCCACAATTCATCATTAATCAGTATCAAGATTGAAAGTACCGGCAATATCGAGGCATCCGCACAGAAACCTATATTCCACTAGTGGCCGATCAATTCGATCCAATGAACGACGGAGACATACAATCTATATGATCAGGGAAATCAGGTTAACAGAAGTTTTCTTTGAACTATTCAAAACCACATACAGTTCAGTAGTCTCATTTCAGTCAACTTAAAATCCCTTAAGAGGTTGTTTCATCGATAAACTCTGATCAGTACTAAGGTCCGGCATATGATTTTGGTTGCCATCTGACTAACGATTTGTGTGCATTTTATTCTCATCCATCCGGATGGATGAGAGGGTTAAGGATACAGCCATCTCTATGACTTGACTGATCAAGTGAAAAGCTGTGAGCAAAAACATGTAACTCAGAACCTGATAGTAATTTTCAGTTGATTAACAGGGGCTGTTGTTTACTAATAATTCAATAATTTAGGTCCCATTCCAATAAAATGGCGTTGTAAAAATATGATGACAAAATGTGAGGATCCTGTTAATATTAGCCTATTAGAATCAATTTTAAGGGTGTAAAATATTGTTTTTATGTTTTATTTTTTTGTTTGTTGATAAGAAAACTGAAAGGGTGAAGTGTTGATGGGAATGAGACTCTAAGGAAAGATGTGTATTTAACGGAGTGATAATTTAAGAAATTTCAAAGGAGCCAGAACGATTAGTTAAGCAGAATGCAAAGAATTCATTGGCCTTCAGTGCTTTCTCTCTGTCTCTTTACAGAAACTGTTCAAATAAACAAATTACTACATACATTGACTGGTCACTGGAGAGCAACCAATCTTGTGCTGCCAAGTCCTGAGTTCAGACTGAATACTACCGGTCATTTTACAATGTTGGCCACTAAACTAGAAGGCGCGCTATTGTGGTGCACTTTGATGAATGTTGGTTACTTGGAACCAGTCAGCAGGAAGTCCTGAACCTAGGTTTCGTGCTTGTTGGCACTAGTCCTTAAGGTGTGTCTTCAACCTCAAGAGAAACGAGTTCCTCCGTGAGATTCGAACCCGTTTCACCCGTTGTTGTAGTCAGCCACGTTACCACTCAGCTGTTCAAGTTGTGACTGATCTCCTGTAAGACTAAATTACATACATTGACGGAACAAATGATTAAATACGAATGCGCATCATGAAGGACACTATATCAATGCAGATTTTACTATTCTGACTACTTATAGTTATCAGAGTATCCCGAGTATAATACATTGTTCAGAGTCTTTCAGTTAATTGATATTCATTGTCAATGTAAGTGAAGAACTTAGACCTTGCGGTAGAATGTTAATCCGTTTTAGACTGATTTATTATGATATCGCCCACACTATTTACTATTCACTGGATGGGTCTTCAAGCATACACTAAGGTTGATAAAAGTATCAAGGTACTCAGTTTTCAAATTAATCTACAAATCACTCACATATGCGTATTGCTCATTAGATATATGACAGATAAGTCTGATCATGATTTCATTAGTCTTTTTTATTTGAGCTAATGGTTATAAAAATGATTACAGAGTTTTTATGTCACTGCTTGCAATTTCCTGTCACTGATTAGACCTAACTGATGAGCCTCACTGAAACGATAGGTCCTTGGTTCGAGTCCGAATGGGAATAATACAACCCACTGGAAAGCAAGTACATCTAACTGAAGAGTCCCAAATAGGACGAAACTCGCGTCCTGAATCCCACTGCTAACCACTATCCATCATAATTATAGAGTTGTTTATTTATTGTTTGTAAATGTCTCAGTTTATCATATCTTCTTTTCCGTTTCTATTATCGTTTGCATCAATATTTTTAGTTGAATTCTGGAATTGGACTTATCTTCGTTACAATATTCTGCATACTTGTCAGTTATCCTGGTAGTCCAACCGTATTATATCGTATATACATTGCTGCCGGTATATTGGGAATTGGTTGTACAACAATCTTGATCACATCATTAGCAATGGTTTCTGATTTGATAGCTAAAAATCAAAGACACGGTGCATTCGTCTATGGTTATATGTCGTTTACTGATAAACTGGCTAATGGAGTTGTCATACAAATTATTGAATTATTATGGAATGAATGCTCATCTATCAATTATTATCAAAATGTTGAATCCTATGGGATTGGAGCATTTGTTTTATGCCAATTAATTTTTATATGTATTTATAGATGGCAAAAAAATATATATGATGCAAATTTAAACACTGTTCATGAACATTTATAGTTTTATGTATAATATTTTGTTTATTTTCATCTTCTTTTTTTAATTTAAAATATTTTGGCTACGAAATCAACAACTATTAAATATTTCTCAAGATTTTCGCCTACAATTTGATTCTGAATGACACAGTGATAGTTTATGCAATACATAAGTTAATACTCAGTAATTTCTATTCCTTTTCTTTAAAATTATGCAATATAGTCATTTGATTTTGCGCCTATTAACTACCTTTTACTTACATAATTTCTTTTATCATTTTTTATGTTTTATCTATTTACAAAATTGTAAAATGTATAAAATAAGTTAATGGATGATATCTTCCTATTATTAATCATTTATTCCTTGTAGTTGTGTGCCAAGTATTAAATTCTTCAACTACCTTATGCAAATAAGTCACAAACAACAGACAGTTATCGTACAAATTCATTCATAATTTCACTTTGCACAATGGTGAACAATCAAAACAGAATATTGTTCACAACAGAATTTCACGGTGGTTTTCACTTTGATGAACTTCACAATAACCTTCATGTACACTTAGTGGGTGCCTTTAATGCAAATTAGAATGCTCCACTGTTAGTGATTTACAGATCATTCCATATACTGCTAATTTTAATAGAAGTCACTTTCTTTTCGTCTACACTTCTCTCTTTTATATTTCAGTCCCGTAATTATTTTGTTGTATGCATTTTTCTTTCTAATGTGGATTTTTCCTTTCTACAGTACAAATGATCATCATTATAATTTCAACTTCTGTGCGTGCGAAAAGGAATATGTTCTCATTGTATAAATACTTTTTTGGTTTTCTCTCTTCTTGATATTATTTCTGTATAATGAAAGCTTAGAATATTATTTTCTCAATGTTTTAAAGAAGCAATAATTAGGTTGGGTCCAATTGTTCTCCTTACTTATCTATATATGAAGGAATTCATTTCACTGGAAGCAACAGTCACTCTTTTTTTAAGATTAGTATACTACCTGAATGTTTCCATTCAAGACTTTTTTCAGTTACACATTTTATAATTCATCAGGAATATGCATCTTAAATACCACTTAAAATAGGAAGACAATTTCAGCATGACTTCACGTTAATATGTAACTGTTTAAGTTGCCTCGTCTTAAACAAACGCGCACAACATACGAGAGAGGTAACCAGGGAAAAGAGAAATAAATCAAACTAATATACTGGGTAATGACCGAAAGTGAAATGAAAATCTGAGCTGTGTCAGTATGTGAATCAACGATGGATTTCGGGTTACAGGCGCAAAACTCAATCAACTGAGACGGTAGCAGACTATGTTTTAATTTCAACTCACTAATATAATCAGAAGAGGTAGAAAGGCAAAATTAAAGGAGATATAAGACAACTAAATGTGATTTATCCGTGAGATTAAAATAAGGTGTAGATTCATCATCACCACTGTGATTGACTTAATATTGGATAGCCTAGAATTTCCAACCATCAGCTAGCTACGGAGAATAGGTTTTTCTGTCTTAATGAGACTGAAACAAAAAGGGATTGTGCTTAATATTGCATTGTTGAAATCCTAGTGACGTCTGTTGGAAGTTCAAAATGACGAAGTAAGTAACTGAGGGTGTACCAAACACGGCAAAAAAGAAGTTGGTTAGTGAGTAAATGCATATGCACCAGTTAAGCGGATCGTAATATTGTACTTTCACCTATTTCACCATCTGTTTATGCTTAAATTAAACATATTTTATTACTGCATATTGTACATGTCCAACAAAGAAAAATGTCAAATCTAGTCAAATATATTTTGTTCGATTACTATACTTTACCAAGTGATTGTTTTCTGTAATGTTACATACTTGAGCTTAAGACTTGCTCCTAATTTTTTTAGTGCTTATTTTTTGGAAATTATTACCTATTCATCGAAATTATTCAAAGTTTCTGAGACGAATCCATTCGCTAGTCCGTTTTGTTAATATTAGTTAGCAGAAGGTTAGGACTATGTGAGAAGCTGGTTCAGCATGCACACAAGATTTTAATTAGAAGATATAGCACTCCACACTTCTGTACATAAGTTAAAAAAGTTAGTCAATGATATCTCAAAGTTTGTTTCGTGCAATGATAGTACCCAAAATTTTGTTTGCTTTCTACGCGACTGAAAACTGTTTTGTGCGTGCAATTGATATCAGTATTCATTCATCTAAAGAGAGTCATCGGAGGATAAAAATGAGTGTGATTGTTAACAGATCACTTATTAGGTATATGGAATTGCAATAAAGTCCAGTGATAAAAATAAGTGACAATACATTCGGATGTTGTGAATGCAAATGAGAAATAATACTAGAAAAGAAAAATGTGGAAATTCTCATTGAAACCTTCAGCTTGTAGTGCACCTTCCTGGCACCAAAATATAACTACGGCTAAAATAAATAGTTTAAATTAACTAAATAAATCTCTAGTTTGCCTCCGGATGCTTAGGGTGTTTTAAGTTTTGTTTTAACGAGCATGCATCCGAGCAGGCTTGGACGCCATTTTGCGCTCCATTGTGCCGGTTACCACGCACGTACTCCGAGTCCCCAGTTCAGCCTTACAAGTTGATTAGACTTTTCCCCCATTCATTATTATTACATTTACTTTAATTAAACATAGCTCCTTCAAACACATTCCTTATCAGTTCTTTTGATTTGTGTTTTGTTATCAGTACTTACACGTTAGGTAAAGTACTGGTTAAGCAGGTACTAAAGCACATCAAGCTAAGTAGGGTTGATCAAACGTTACGGAATTGTGACACGCACCCCTACAAGCTGATAACAAACTGAGCTCCTCTTCATCGGATTTACGTTACTAATATGTACATTTTTTTTATGAACACAATATACACCAACCTAAACATCTCTATGACCATTCCGTTACTAAGAAAAGTAACTGATTTACACAAGATACTAAGGTGATTATCGATTACTAAAATTACGATAATTACTGAGGGAACAGAAAAACTACATTTAATAAAACTTTAAAAGTCAAAGCAGGCTGCTGCTTAATTGATGAGTTGGGTAATAATGAACAGTTGACGTTTCTGCGATACTAAGAAACAAAGGATGAGAGAACTGTAATGATAGACAACAGAAAGAGTCATTCTGATACAGCTGCTGAATATTAAATTAAATAAAAAGACTGATTGAGCGAAGAAATATATTCCTTTTTCAATTAGGTCTTCATCTTGGGCTCTACGCTAATATATAGGTTTACAATTTAATCAAATTACCAATCATGTGGTGTTTCGGAAATAATGATGTAAATAATCAATAGAGTTACTAAAATAGGAAGTATGAATATTGATAGAGACAAGAAGGAGAAGGCGTGCATGAATTTCTGGGCACCACCCATCATGGTTGAACTAGGGACAAATTAGAACTATAAAGAGCTCCATACTTGCACACTTAGTTGACACAGGACATCAAGTGGTTACTGGAAAAACCTTCAGAATCATCCATCAGATTTCAATTAATTTACCTTATGGATTACGCACTCGGTAACCTCACATGGCAGAGGCGATTGCAATCCACCTTTACAAACCTATCCTTTGTATCCAAACGAAGTTTGTTCGACCACTTTCATTACCGTGGCCGTCAACATGATGTAACTTCTAGGTTTATTTTGTGCACCTCTTCCCCTTCTTGTTCCTATCAACATTCATGTTTCCTATTTTAGTAACTCTATTGATTATTTACATCATTATTTCCGAAACATCACCACGTGATTGGTAATTTGATTAAATTGTAAAACTATATATTAGTGTAGAGCCCAAGATGAAGACCTAATTGAAAAAGGAATATATTTCTCCGTTCAATCAGTCTTTTTCTAAATGGGTATATTCAATGTATTAAATTAAATAATGTAGCTGACCAAGGCAAAAGTAGTGGTGTGGTTATCCTTTACTCAAAGATGAAGGATAGTGTTCAGATATGCACAGATTTACACTAATATGGAGAGAATAAGTTCCTACCATCATTTGAAATGATACTACAGAAAATAAATAAACTAATTCTAAAGATTTGAGGCTGAGAGGGTCATTATGTTCATAACGGTAAAATCCGTTGGGGAGAACATTTTGCAAGTAGGCAGTTCCAATGAGATTTCTGATGATTGATCTACTAATCTCAGTTTTTTTTTATAGTTTGGAGTACACAAATGATGTCAATTAAAATTCTGATCCAGGATCAGTATGGAGACTTGATAAACTCAGCCAAAAATGTTCGAAGCATAGTGGATTTAGTGGATAACTGTTTCACTGCCTGTACAATTTAAACCCTCATTATTATTTGCTCCCATCATACAGTACAAATAAGTTTCAAGGATATGAATTTCTCTCATTTCGATTACCTAGTAATGTTTACCAGAATGCCACGATTGCTAGTTACCAAGAGAATTAAATAAGCATTGCTGCAAAGGCACCAAAGTTATATCATTAAATTATTTCCTACTCTTTAGACATTTCAGTGTCTCTTACATTAAAGCAATCATTTTCTGCTTTTTAATGATACATATGTGAACATATCCTTATCACCACGTTCAGAACTTATTGATACTGTATATGGTGTAAGGTTTGTTATTTAGGAGTAAAACACCAATAACTTATCTGTTTCTTTTCACTAGAATTGAATTGCCTACTTGCTGTTCAAAGTTCTTTCTCTCCTGAACAAAGCATCTTATGCCTTCGCTTAAGTGTCGTGATACTTTGTCTAATGAATTGCAGATCCAAAACACTAACCGGTATTAAGTATGTAAGAATGTATATTGAACTTGTTTCTTTATATCAGTGCCAGTTTGTGTGAGTACATGCTACACCTTTTTCTTTTTACAATTAGGTTTGTATTACTAGTATTTTCACCGCATTCAGGGTTATCTAGTGTAGCGTCTTTTTATACTGTCAGTGTTATTTCTCCCAGTCATTTTATATTCTATTTCTGTGTCATCTTACTTATATTTCAAGTTTTTTCAGACAACGAAACTCAGATTTATTTTTTAAAATACTATGGGTTTTATCTTAATGTGACTGCGAGACAGTATGAAAGAAAAGAAAGCACATGTATCTAAATGCATGCTGTGCAAGTAATGCTTAGCTTTTATCTGAGGCATGTGTGCATTATTAGCTCTTGGAGATGAGTATTTGCTCCAAAAAATCAATGTATGTATTCACAAGTGTAAGTGATAATTCTCATGAAGCTTACTTTTTGTAATCTAGTATTAAGATTTGTTTAGTCACTGAGCATATGCTGATGAAGTCACACGAGTGTGTCACCTACATTTGACTGCAGAATATGGCGTCTGTGAATACAATTTATAATCCCTGGAGCTGGTTAGAAATATCACTAAAACCAAAGGGTATGTTTGCATATCAGATTGCTTTTTCCATTTGTACAGCTGACTGACACCTTGCTTTTTGAATTCTATTAGCTTATTCCGTCAATTCATAATATCTTCCCCTTTATTAGATATGGATCATTACTCTGATCGATATTCTTACCGTACTTGGCTTGACTGATTTTCACATCCCTCCTTTCCCATAATCTTCATTTCACTACTACTTATATTCACCTGTCTCGCGTTTTTGATACATATTCCCCTGTCACTTTCGATGGATTAGATGACCTATAGTCACTTAACATATAAAGCGATTTTTCATACCTGGAAATTTTGCTTCACCTCTCAGTATGGAATGCTAGTTTATGTAAGTTAAGAATTTCTGTAAATTCAAAGAACGGTTACTCATAACAAATTAGGAAAATATGCTCAAAGTTTTCAGTTACTCATAAGTAATATGGCGAATAACACTGAGAAAAGGTTACATCGGGGTGAGAAAGAAGGATGACGACAAAGGTGAAACAAATAAGGAGGTGAAGTACGAAAGTGTGTGAATGATTATAGGGATGTCAAATCCAAGACCAATACCTCTACTTCCGTCGAATGGTAAAGTACATAGAGAATACGACATCCCATCATTAGGCCATAGGCAAAAAACACCGGTCGGTTTAAAATGAACCAAAGAACTCACCGTCATATCACCATGTAACTGATAACTTTTGACTTACTTTCAGAAACCTGAATAATTCAGAGAAGTAATGGAGACTAGAACTATGTATTCACCCAGTCTATTTTTACACTTTTCGTTAATCCTCTATGGTTAACTTATCAACCAGTTAGCTTATCTAATTTTCTGACTAGTAACTTCATAAGCAAATTCGATATAATGGCCAGCGCTAGTCAACCAACTGACACACACTTGTAACTGTTGACACCCATGTACTAGTGTAGAAAAGCCAATGAGTGGCTGATTAAAAGCGAATATTTCTTAGCTCAATTCATCTTTCTATTAACTATAAACAAGTTTAGATTTCTTAGGAACCATTCTCAAAAACCTCTTCAATCGACAAACAACACCTGCCATCCGCCCAGAAATACCATCAACAGCTAAAGAACTACAAAAAAAACAAGTTCTCCAACAAAACCACAAGCCCAGAACGCTATAAAATGGCCGATATCCGGGAAAGCAGTAAGACAAGATGGAATTCATGTAGAAGCACTGAATACACATGCGGAGACAACACAAAACATGCTCACACCATTACTGTAGAAGGTTTGCAAGGAAAAAAGTGTACCTGACCATTGATGGGAAGAAGGGCTATCTCGTCAAACTCCCAAACAAGGCAGACATAAGTCTCTGCAAGAAATGGGGCGAAATCATGCTCTTGTCCACCCCAAGCAAAATATTAAGCTGCATCATACTGGAGAAACTAATATATACTCCACATTCAAAATTACGACCAGAACAGGCTGGCTGGCTGTATCCAAGATGAACAAATCATGTGCAGATCAAACTGCAACACCACGCTACGCATCATCATAGAACACAGCATAGAATGACAGTCAACTCTCCACTTTATCTCAACTTCATCCACTCTGAAAAGGCATTCGATAGCGTCAACCGACAAGTAATTTAGCAACCACTTCAACACTACAATTTTAGTGTCACAAACCTTTATCAACCTCATTCAACAGCTATATGGCGACACTACATACAAAGTGATTCATAATAAAAAGCTCAGTGATGTCTTTGAAGGAAGTAAAACAAGGTTGTCACCTACTATCACCCATGATCTTCCTCATTGTAGTCAACTCGACGGGACGGGACTGGACTGGACTGGATTGGACTACATTATGCAATAAACTGTGAGGAGCGAAAAGGTGGGCATACGCTGTCTCATCGATGAAAAGACCCCAGAAGAAGATTTGGATTTCACCCATGATCATTTATGTCTAATCTCTTGTCACACAAACTCGAAGATCTACACGCGAAAACTAACAAGTTGACAGAAGAGGAGAGGCGAGGCAGAGAAGACGGGACTTCCTTCAGGTGAACGTACAGAAGACAGACGTGACGAAGATACCCAAACAACAACAACAACAACAACAACAACAAACGACAATCACCATAAATGGGAGAAATCTAAATGAAATTGTCTCTCACCTACCTACCTACCTACCTAGGCAGCATCGTTTCAACTACAGACGGTACAGGCACACAGCAGGACGTCAAAACCAGGATCCGAAAAGCAAGCGAGATAGGCCATCATTAACTTGAAACCGGTGTAAAGATCTACTGCACTCAGCATAAAGCGTCAACAACATCCTGGGATTTTCAACTCTAATCTCAGTCAAGTCAGTGATTCCATGTGATGGTTCACAGACTTGGCACGTTACCAAAAGCATTTCCAACAAACTACAGACATCATACATCAACAGCTACCACCTACGCTTGCTCCATACTGAAGATCAGATGGTCAGAATAATAAGAATCAGCAACAAGGAACTCTGGCTGGCTGGCCGGCTGGCAACGAAACAACAAAGAACCCATCGCCCAACAAATATGCAGAACAAAGTGGAGATGCGTTGGGTACACACTGAGAAGACCATTCAGTGACATCACGCACCATGCCAAGACCTCGAGTGCAACCCAAAGGGGAAACGACGAATTGGGCGTCCGAGGCGGGGTGACATGGAGAAGATCGTGTGAGGAATAAATGAAAGCAGACGTGTTACTGAAGCCCTATGTTCCACTAGGAACCCAAATGATAAAGAATCATAATAACACCGGTTTAGCTGATCATATGTAGCTAATTATATGAGCTGTTCCTGCTTGCCCGTCTGTATGTATCAACTTAACTTAGAGGAATGACCAAATATATCAAAGGTGCCGTTCTGTCTCTCCTTGTAGAAAGCCAACACCATCTGTAAATATATAAGACATTCTGTGTGATCTGCTGAGTGGTAAGTAATCCCCGAAGGTTATATGGCCAGGTTCTTCTTGCATGGGCAAGGCTATAGGAACCAATAAAAGAAACCTGGATCCAACTAAGGTCCACGCTAACCTGGCACAAGGAAAATTTACATTGTCATCACACAGATATTTTATATACTTTTATACCTTTATATTTTATTGCTTTCCCTCTTTTATTTCTATGAAACATTCTAGTCACACAATAAACTGATTTGTTGCTGCTACTATTCAGTCATCTTTCATTCTTCGTTATTGGATTTATACAATTCTGCATATCGGTGATAAATTTTCTTTTATCGCTCATAATGAACATCTTGAGTATGTGTCCGGATCCAACAACTGATCATTTATCAGACATTCCTAGAATCTAGGTTACGCATAGGAGCTAGATACACGTACCATAAGTTGAAGGAAGGATAAATTATAAACATCAAGTCCATAGTTGTTATGAATGTCCTGGAAAAATCTACTCTATTCTATATATATTCCTAAGTGAAGGACAAATTAGTCATACATTGGTCTGTATTGATCAACTGGCAAAGAATTTGTATAGTGATCAGTCTGGGGTTCGTATGAAATTTGCAACTGACTGATATAAGCTGTTTGTAGATCCTTCAATCCCGTCAGCAGTACTTGATAATCAGATCAGAGTAATCGAAACACTAAATATCCATTTCACTTGTTCGGGGTCAAATACATCAAAAGACCTATGAATTTCAAGTTTCTCCTCAGTGAGTTGAACACCGTAGTCGATAGAATTCTAGGTGCACAAAAAATGACTATTGTAGTAAATTAGTTTTTTGAATCGGACCTATATGCTTTGTCCACAGGACAATAGGCATCAAAAGAAACGTTCATATGACAAGTTTTGAGTTGGAGAAAAGGTGTTTTAAATTTTAATGCCAACCATCTCAAGGATACTAGTGTTATCTTACTGCATTTACAGATGGAAGATTTCCACACTTTCAACAAGTCAAGAAAATATTAACGAGGTATAGTGAGTTTTAAAAATTATGTAGAACAAAATGTTACATGTACTTTTTAAAAAAATAAGTATTTACAAATCTCAAGTTCATAATAAAAATTTTAAAAGTGCATTAGACAACAGTTATGAAGGTTTCCAAAAACTCTCATCAATAAAACCAATCTTTTCATGAATTTCGTCAATGTTTTCATATTTCTCTAGAAGTGACAATAACTGTATCTCTGGTAATGACTGACGTAAAATAGGAGATTTATTGATAATCATTCTGATGGTGTTGATAAGACGGGAAGCCTGATTACCATAGAGATTCATAAACACTGTACCTCCAATTTCAAGAATTCCTTGTAGAACCTATGAATTTTAAAATCAGATTGGTTAATCGCATGAGACCCTAAGAAGATGAAACACGCAAGTATATAGAACTAATAATAATTTCAAATTAAACGAATCACGAGCATCTGAGATAGCTCAAGAACTCACAGTGCATAATCCGCCAATCAAGAACTGGGAAACATAAAGTTTACCGAGTGTAAAGGAATAGAATGAACAGTCTAAGTAAAAAAGCAACTGTTGTACATTTTCCAGTGTTTGTAAGAGAAAGCTATATTGTAAGACAACAGAAAATTCAAGTAAAATAAAATACAAAAGTGAATCCCATTAGATTAGTGGAACATCATGATGATACATGCTGATATCAAGATCCCGTCATCATAACATCTGGTCAGTACTCCCTGAACGGATTAAACGATGAGCTGCAATGGAAACTGTGAAGTTGTGCCTAGTCGGGAAGAACGCAAAAGACGTTATGATTGCTTCTTCACACCAGAGTTAGTTCAACAATTTAAGAATCAAGCGAGGGTAGACCCTAGCAATACGATAAGATCTTTGGCGCGGAAAATGTTTTTCAGCCTATGTTATGAAGCAGACTTCTGGTGAGGAAATCCACCACCACCATTCATAGAGACTAGCTGGTTACAGATATGACTCAACAAAAGCCATCTATAATACAAAGCAGGTTGCTCATATCATGGAGACATACTTCTTCAAACGGCTTGTGAGTGTTTCTCGTTAGGGTGACGTCATACCAAGTCGTTTCTTTAACAGGTTTCTAGCTCGACTCACAAAACTTTGTTAAAATCTCGAAGACCATAGAAAATCCTTGGTGGGAGAGGGTGGTTTTAGAAAGTTATGTGGGTGACGAAGAGGTTTGGTTCCCACTCACACCTCACAGTAGACTCATAAATGGTTGTCTGTATGTTCACCTCATCAGATGTCCGACTTCCCAGCCTGCTTTATCTTAATCCTCTGGATTATTCTTTACCATGTGGCTGAGGATGATGCCAACAGTACTAATTGTTAAACAAAAGGCTACCCTAGGGATATCATGTAAGTGGATGGCACCAGGTTAACGACGTGGTGGTGTCGGGGGCGGCTTCTATGACTGACTCTCTTCTGATCATTTGAATTCTCAGATTACTTCAATATGAAACGCCTGTTAAGTGGTAACTGATAGTATCTGTAACATCTACATAATGTTACTGGTTTGGCGCTTTATAAGTAACTTATATTTTAATAAGTTTACCGTGCTTTCCTCTGATTGCCTGTTTACTGTTGTTTGATTATTTGACATAATGAGTCGAGTGGCAGCCATGCTATTGACCGTAGAGTACATGTTGTGCTGCTACACAGCCTTGGATGTGAGTCTGCAATTTAAGTCATTATTTGTTAAATGTAGGACTATTTATTGCAAAGAAAGACAGCCTTTTAATCTAAAGCGACTCCCAGGTCCTTATATCTATGTAAAGCAAACACTACCTGCCACAAAAACTTCCGAAAATTCGGCTCGGTTCGAACTTGTGACCTACTAGTTTAAAGTTAGTTGCTTAGAAGAACCGATCGACAGCTTCACATGGAAGTGAAGAGAAAAATGAAAATGAGCTCCAAAAATTTTTAACATTTAAAGACAAGGAGCGAATGTATCTATATCACTGAAACAGCTATTGAGTAAAGCTAATAACTCTACTTTCCAATACACTCTTAGTCTCAACTTCGAGTCAAGTCCTCGTAAAATACACAGCTGAGGTGAAAACGATACAGTTAGGTGAGACGCAGTTGCGAAACTTTATCACGATTTACTTTAAAAACCCAATTAAACAGATTACAATGCGACCTCACTAATATCATTCAAGATATGACTGTGAATATAATAACTACGACACAATACTGACTGACATGAATGGTTTTATATCACCTGCATTAAATAGCTGAGCTCGTTATTTAGATCTAGAAAATCAACACAAGGCTGTTTTACTATGTCAGCAATATGCGTTGTACAGCTCAGTCCCAGTATGCAAATAAACCGGACATTTACCAAATCAATCATAAATGAAATTACTGAAAACAAACGCTTACTTCTGCAGTTGCACAAGGAATAAATTCTTGATTGATTATTCCACTGATAACTCGCCATAGAAGTGAAGGATTCAAAAGTTTATGCCGTTTAACGTTAAGATGTGGAGGTGGATGTGCTAGTGCTAGAGCAGCAAACAATCGGACTATCCCACGCCAATTATTCATTACATCCATATCCGAAAACATTTCATCCATCAGGTGTAATCCACTTGGATCACAGAACAATCCAAGAGCTGGACAAGCTAGGAATATTCGACCAAAAAATCCGTACTATTAAGAAAAAAGAACAACCAATTTAAATACACGTCAGGTTAAATTCAAATGTTTATCTGTTTAAAATGATTCAGATAACTGCAGATGACTAACAATTTTCGTATAAGACAATTTCAATTTTAACTTCTTTTTTAAGAAGACTCCGTATGTTTACAGTTTATTGGTAGGCTTCTAGTTGACTAATAATAATTGCGTGAACGTTTGAGGAAAATGAAGAAACAGATGTCCATGAGACTGATGAGAGAGAATATTAGATGGAGTATCTGACAGAGGTTAACGGAAAAGCATTACAGAATCTCCTCCAGAAATAAATATCGAAGTAAATGAACATAGACTATATGTAGTGTGAATCCTGTGATACCTACAATGAATTATAAGACTCAGCTATTGAATTTTGATTCAAAATAGTATTAAAAAGATCGCATTAGCTGAAAGTGAGTAGATATGGTATGTGCTTTTTGAAAACAAGATCATCCACTTGAGCTACAAGTATTCTCCACTATTTCTTCCTTTGAAGGTCATGTAGGAACAAGACTAATAGCTGTCTCACTTAATATAATTATGGACCATGCCAAGATACTGAATTGTATTTCCGATAACCTGGATCAAATCGGTATCTCGTTCAAAACTATGGAGGAAAAAAATATCTTACATTTCAACAGTACAATGAGATAAATAACACGAGAAACAACTGTGATCGAACAAACCACATACTGGATTTTTAATCGGTATGTCACGTGTTCAAAACTAGTTCCACCTAATAAACTTCGAGCAGTCCCATGAGTAATACTATTTGGATTTTGATGGTACGTGTTATGCATGAATATGACTGCAATACAGCCAAAGAATAGGGATCTTCAAGTTAACTTTCTCGAAACTATAGGGATCTCAATGACCCAATTCAATTAGATTATACGGCTTACCAGGAACCCACTATTCTGAAATCTGCAACATTTCTTTTTGAAAAATGACCGATTTGCATAAAAAAGATATCTTCTTATAACTTATTTCCTAAGCGTAGGAACAGCAAGTCCGAAGTGATAAGCCTTGACAGAACAAGTAACCTACAAATAATTCAGTCATTACTATACATACAATAACACAATCAGACTGACAAGAATAACGGTCCTAAAAGCTAATACAGTTAGATGTAAAAAGTCAGTCGCTGAACCAACAACTAATACATACAATAGGAATGATCCACTACCAAGCCCATATGTACGTAAAATTCTAGCACTCATAAAATAGAGCACCTTGCCTAGTTTACTAGTTACTAGCCGGTCCTAAGCCCGGATAAAGAGGGAAGGCTGGGCATAAAGTTCGCAACCCTGCCCCCTACAACCAATCTAACCGCTGAAGAAACTTCATTGCACAAAGTAAATATTGAAATTGAAATTATTCTTTGCTGGAATCGGAGAGGTGAAATAACGCCAGTTGATGAAAGCCTTCGAGAAGCCAGTCGACCGATGTGTCTTCTCGATGAAAGCGAAAGTAAGCATAGGGACATGGAATGTCCACACAATGTTTGAACCTAGCAAGACTGCCCAGATTGCAAAAGAGATGCGGAGGTATGGCATTCAAGTGCTATGCTGGAGAATCTGCGAAAGCAGGTGGAATGGAAGTGGACTCTCCAAACTGTCTGTCAACTGGAGAGGAGTCAATAATCTACTCCGATATTGTCAACCAGATGACAACCACGAGCACACTGAGTTTTAGAATGGCTATGATATCTCCAAGAACATCGAAGGCTCTTACACAGTGAGAACCAATCTCCCCCAGCATCAGGATCAGCATCACGGCAGCCAGATGGATTTAACCGAAAAGGAAAGAAAGTCACAATAATACAATGCTGGGCTACCCACCTACAAATAATGCAGATCAAGAGAAGGAGGTATTCTACAGACAACTGCAATCAGTATTGGACAAGACTCCACCCCAGTTGGCGACATCAAAATTCCAATGGGTGACATGAATGCCAAACTCGAAGCAGATAACACAGGAAGAGAACTTATCATGGGTCAAGAAAAACTCGGTGAAATGGTGAGTGAGAACGGAGAACTGTTTGCAGACTTCTGCGCATTCAACGATTTGGTGATTTAAAGCAGTGTGTACAAACACAAGGATATTCACAAAGCGACATGGAGTTGGTTTCACCTCATGGACACACTAAAAATCAGATCGACTTCATCTCAATCTCAAGAAAGTGGAGAGGCAGCCTACTGGAAGCAAGATCAGATGAAGAAGGGGAGCAGATGTAGGCTCACACCACTCACTATCTAGTGCAAGGAACCTACCTGCAACATTAAGTTGAAGGCCTTGAAAGAAGTTGGTGATAGGCCACAGTTCAAGTTCAGCACCCACAAATTGACTGAAGGACGAAACTAAAAAGGACATCTTCACGTCACCTATCAGAAAAAAATGGGAGACATTGAGCAACATCCCCGAAGAAACCTCCGCGGAAGAAAACTGGAACTGTTTCAAAGAAAAGTGGAAGGAAACCTGTATAACCATGTTAGGAAGGAAGAAGAAATAAGACAAGGAATGGATCTTCACGGACACAACGAAGCTGATAGAGCAGGGAGAGGAAGATGGTGAAGCAGAAAATGAACCAGTGCAGTGCAGTGCAGGGATGAACAACGAAAAGAGAAGCTGAATATAACATAAAACACTACACTGGACAAAGAAGTGAAGAAGAGTGCATAAGAGACACTTCTACGACAAATTGGCAAGTGAAGCAGAACAGGCTGCAAGCAGGAGAGAGAGACCTGACAACACTATATCAAATAGCCAGGTTACTGTCTGGGACGGGAAGGATCAACACAGATAAAACCAATGAAATAAAGTGAAGGGAACCTAGTTACCAAAGAGGAGAAACAAACGAAACGATGGGCTGACCACATCACAAAACTCTTGAATCCACAACCATCACCTGCAACTCGTCCACGAATACCACCAGCAGCACAGAGAAGAAACTATCAGTGAACACAAACCCTGAAACAAAATCAGAACAAAAGCAGCGGGACCAGAAGGAATTCATGTAGAAGCACTGAATACACATGCGGAGACAACACAAAACATGCTCACACCATTACTGTAGAAGGTTTGCAAGGAAAAAAGTGTACCTGACCATTGATGGGAAGAAGGGCTATCTCGTCAAACTCCCAAACAAGGCAGACATAAGTCTCTGCAAGAAATGGGGCGAAATCATGCTCTTGTCCACCCCAAGCAAAATATTAAGCTGCATCATACTGGAGAAACTAATATATACTCCACATTCAAAATTACGACCAGAACAGGCTGGCTGGCTGTATCCAAGATGAACAAATCATGTGCAGATCAAACTGCAACACCACGCTACGCATCATCATAGAACACAGCATAGAATGACAGTCAACTCTCCACTTTATCTCAACTTCATCCACTCTGAAAAGGCATTCGATAGCGTCAACCGACAAGTAATTTAGCAACCACTTCAACACTACAATTTTAGTGTCACAAACCTTTATCAACCTCATTCAACAGCTATATGGCGACACTACATACAAAGTGATTCATAATAAAAAGCTCAGTGATGTCTTTGAAGGAAGTAAAACAAGGTTGTCACCTACTATCACCCATGATCTTCCTCATTGTAGTCAACTCGACGGGACGGGACTGGACTGGACTGGATTGGACTACATTATGCAATAAACTGTGAGGAGCGAAAAGGTGGGCATACGCTGTCTCATCGATGAAAAGACCCCAGAAGAAGATTTGGATTTCACCCATGATCATTTATGTCTAATCTCTTGTCACACAAACTCGAAGATCTACACGCGAAAACTAACAAGTTGACAGAAGAGGAGAGGCGAGGCAGAGAAGACGGGACTTCCTTCAGGTGAACGTACAGAAGACAGACGTGACGAAGATACCCAAACAACAACAACAACAACAACAACAACAAACGACAATCACCATAAATGGGAGAAATCTAAATGAAATTGTCTCTCACCTACCTACCTACCTACCTAGGCAGCATCGTTTCAACTACAGACGGTACAGGCACACAGCAGGACGTCAAAACCAGGATCCGAAAAGCAAGCGAGATAGGCCATCATTAACTTGAAACCGGTGTAAAGATCTACTGCACTCAGCATAAAGCGTCAACAACATCCTGGGATTTTCAACTCTAATCTCAGTCAAGTCAGTGATTCCATGTGATGGTTCACAGACTTGGCACGTTACCAAAAGCATTTCCAACAAACTACAGACATCATACATCAACAGCTACCACCTACGCTTGCTCCATACTGAAGATCAGATGGTCAGAATAATAAGAATCAGCAACAAGGAACTCTGGCTGGCTGGCTGGCTGGCTGGCTGGCTGGCTGGCTGGCTGGCTGGCTGGCTGGCTGGCTGGCTGGCTGGCTGGCTGGCTGGCTGGCTGGCTGGCTGGCTGGCTGGCTGGCTGGCTGGCTGGCTGGCTGGCTGGCTGGCTGGCTGGCTGGCAACGAAACAACAAAGAACCCATCGCCCAACAAATATGCAGAACAAAGTGGAGATGGGTTGGGCACACACTGAGAAGACCATTCAGGGACATCACGCACCACGCCAAGACCTCGAGTGCAACCCAAAGGGGAAACGACGAGTTAGGCGTCCGAGGCGGGGTGACATGGAGAAGATCGTATGAGGAATAAATGAAAGCTTCTGGGTAGTCGTGGAGCTAGGTTTAAAAGACCGCAGAGAACAGAGTGAAATGCAGACGTGCTATTGAAGCCCTATGTTTCACCAGGAACCCAAAAGCAAGTAATAAATAGCAATAATAAAATAGAGGCACACAGATAGACAAAATCAGCGTTGAACTTTGCACACAGTTGCATCGGCTCAAGCTGCCACACTTTACAGTAGTAGGCAAAGAACAGGTGGATAGAAAAAGATTCATATTAAAGTAGAAAGTAGTGTGAGAAAGTGAACAATCTGAAGACAACGGTTAGTGATACTATTCAAGCTTTAGAAGATGCTAAGGAGTGAATATATCTGCGTCAATGTGACCGATTTTCAGGCATGTCATGAAGAGTCCTTCACCACTGGTTCCCTTCGTCTAGAGGACCCTAGTCAGACAGTCTACATCTCCCCACACTAAGGGACTTGATCGACTGGTGCCATGTCTTTGTCTGGCTGCCCTGAACCCCCTTCTAACCTAATCCAACTTCGTCTAGCACTGCACATTGAGGTAGGCAGTGGATTGGCATGCGCAACACAAGTCCAAGCCACCACCGTAGAATCAAAAAAACTATATATGGAAATTCTGAACACCTTGGTAAGATTAGGAATAATAAACTGTATTCCAAAAAGTACATGAGTGGACAATATGTCAGTGAGTGTTATATAGAACAAAATAATCTAATATGAAAACATTCTTTTTCGCCGCATGTAATCCTGATACATATAAACCTCAACATTGAGTTGCAAAACATGAAGCTACTAAAAGAATACTGAATAGTATACGTTATCCACTTATAATATTCATAATTATACTTCTTGAGACAGACGTAGTTCAAGAGAATTATCAAGTCAGTCAAAAGAAAATCAGACTGTCACCCGCCGATTAGCCATCAGAAAAAAATAAAAACATTCTTGTACAGCACCTTCCCCTTCTTATAATTCTCATGGAGACGTAAAATATGCCTAGCTAACATACACTTCAGTGGTGCGTGCCACTGCAAAGCTTGTAACCCTTATTATTAAAAAAAACAAAAGTTTTCTGTTTTGTTCATTGCGCTTTTTATCCTAGGGTAAGACTGTTGAAATATCCTCTGATACCTATTTTTCAGGATACATAAGGAACAGAAAAAGCACATCCTGAATCTAATGATGACAACTCAGTAACATATATATAAACTCACAATGCATATCGTTTCAGAGCACAGATAATGAAAAGTACATAATTACACCACTGAGTACACATGCTGTTCGAAGTTTCCATTAAGTGAAGAGAGTTTTACTGAGCAGGCAAGTAGTAAGATCCTAATGGTATAACGATGCAATTCAGCAGTGACATAATTAAGTGCATCGGACCGTTATATATATATATATATATATATATATATATATATATATATATATATATATATATATTGTACGAGAGTTTGTTTGTTCGTTGAATAATATAACGTGAAGTTCATGACTTATAAGCAAATCAACGAATTGATTACAGTTAGTAACTCATTTTACAGGCGTTATTATCATGGGAATTGATAGGGTTAGAAATAAGAGGAGGGGGTTATAGATTCGTTTAGAACATTGGATCAAGTGAAAATCAAATAACCAATTAAGTGATTTTAAACAACCAACCGTGAGTGCTTAGACACAAAAATATGCAAAATATGCAAGGAATGGGACAAAATGGTTCTTACTCTGACATTTAGGAATCAAATATAAACTTTCTAAACGTTTCCAGCTGAGATGATGTAGCTATCTGGTGTTCCGTGGTTTTTATGAGTTCTGTAGATGTTGTTTCGTCGTGGAAAGTTGTCAAACTGTGATAAACTGCCTCAAAATGCTTTAAACGTAACCTTTATATTCATAAACAAGGGGGGGGGAGCTTTTCTTAAAGGCTAAAAAAATTACCAGTTTATCTGGAAATAGCGCGAAAATGCCAGAAAGCAATGATGCGTAGACTAAAGTAATGTCAATGTTGTATGCAAACTGCCTTTCAGCTTGGGAAATAGTTGATGAATAGAGGCACTGCCACGCAAAATTATTGATCAACTGATTATTTTTTAAGCTGCCAAGTCCCATTTCTTTTGAATCGCTGTTGGTTGCGGTATAATTTAACACTTTCAAGAGACATTCCAATCTACCAATGCAATGAACTGGATCGTGCGAGCTGATCTGACGATGAAGAAATTTAATAAATACAACAGATGAAAAGTAGAAATAAGTTTCTGGAACCATAACAACAAGCTTAAGTTACTTTAACAATGCAGATATAATAAAGTACACCTGATAAACAACACAGTTATATAGTTTTATGCAGGAGCACGAAGGGGAAAACACAAGATCCAGATAATTATACTCTGTTGAATTATATATATCTTGCTTGATGAAGCTTGATGTAATGTCCCCCTAAAAGAGTGAGTCATACAAACGATGATGCAATGTCGTAATAGGGTCATAAACATCACCTACTTTTGCTTAAGGATTATCAAAAACAATATGTCAGCATCTAAAATTAAGAATCAAAACTAAAATAAAAAATATTTCCAAAATGGATTCGTCTTGATAAAATGTCATGTCTGCATCTTATAAACACAAAAGTTCTAACAAACACACGGAAACCAAATAATGTACATCAGAAGCCAATGAGCTTATGAAGAATACCAAGAAACAAAAAAACTACAATGATGGATTGAAAGAAGGGGACAACAAGAGACAAGTCAACAACGTATTCATGAAGACAAATTTTATGGTGAATCGATATCAACCAGGGAGTTACTGCAAACCAGGACACAGAGTTAGTATTTTCTTCCTTGAGATTACCTAGTGGTTAGCATATATAGTGTTACACAGGTCAATTCCAAAACCATCCCACCTTGTGAAGAACAAGTCTACCATAAGCTTTGAATCACTGATTCGAAACCCTATGTGAAATGTCTACAGCTAGATTAGTTTGGCACGCTCACATTTGTTACCTCTTTCAATATCTCCAACATCACATAGTTCTTCACTTATTATATTGTCCCTTCGTAATATCTCCCCAAATGTATTTCTTTTTTGATGCTGTAGAAAATTGTGAAAACTTTAAACGATGCAGTTTTATGCCCTATTGTTCGTCGATCGACGGAAAATTCATCACCATAAATCGTTTATCAACAAATAAAGTTACGCTGACAGCCCTACTTAACTACGGAAGTTTGTGTACAACATTAAAAAGTATTTACAGGTTAGATACAGAGCAGAGCAATCCAAAAGATGAATGCATTTACTGCACTGTACTTCATTTAATTACTTTTTCGTCCACGAATTGTGATGGACATCCTTTTTCAGACAAGATTTTTCTGAGAAGTATAAGTTCTTCATAGTAATCAAGTCACGGATTCATCCAATACGGTAGGCGATAGGTAAGATAAGAGTTCGCATAAAACACAATGAAGATCGTGTTTTCCAGTTACTTAACCCACCATAGCTACAAGGAATCTGTTGGAAGTGTGATTGTAGAGCACCTCATTAAAACTGGTCGTGGCATCTTAACAGACTCATTATTTAAAGTCATTTACTGAGTGAAAAGAAAACTACCAAAGATTGCATATTCCCAATTCCTTCGCACTGTACAGAGAAGTCAGAATTATGTACAAAAACAAACTTGCTAGGTTTCTGTTTGTATCATGATTAAATCATGAGCTTTGGAAGTTAGTTTCTTTGTTTTATAACTCTCTTTTTTTTACCGTTAACAACCTCATATTATTTCAATTTTATTTTCATGCTTTCCTTGAACATTCATTGTCTTTAAAATTGTTTTGGTACATTAGATAGCCTTAATCTAAAACTTACTAATATTCCAGGTTTCTGTGCTCCCTTATGATTGATTAATCACCTTTCACACAACATGAATTGTTCATGCTTTGCTTACAAACATGAACACTTCTATTCGGTTTTATCCTTGTTCAAGGAGCAGAACTATCTATAACCGTAAAATTGCTATTGACTAAAGACTGACTACACAGCTGCAGCGAATGTAACAGCTGAAGAAGATATCTCTCTTATCTCTTCTAAATGTATTAACCCATCATTCATCAACAAAATGAACTTCTAAACGTAGTTCATACGTCACTGTTAAGTTACTGAAAAAGTCTCAGAAAAATGTATGTAAAACTTGGGCATTGTAGTAGAATGTAATTTCAAATTAGACTTGTTTATTTGATATAGCGTATAATGATACAGTATTATTTACTTGACGACGTTTCGAGCATAAATTACTGCTCATAATCATATCAATGAGTGTCTCGAAGAGTATATATATTAGCGGAACAGAAAATTAAAGAGCAGTGATCTTTCACGGAACCTCTTCAGAGACAGCTGGTAACAATATGGCCTGTATATGCCTATTGTTGGGGTAGTGTTGGTGGATACATCGCACAGTGTATCCCTACATTTGAAGTTCGTGTTGATTGGAAATAAATGGCTGTCTGAGCACAGTTGTAACAGGCGATCGCCCTTATCTGTCCATTTGGCTGGAATTTCAACAGTACCATCTATGGTGCCTTTCTGTCTGACTTAACCTACCCACTTGTGCATTGAAACCACTTACTTGGCTTTCGGCAGGAGGTTAGACCGCTTCCGCTAGAACTTATCTTTTATTTTATCCGAATTGCAGTTAGTGAATGCGTAGGTAAAGACCACAAAGAGATAGCGGTGAGTTTCACCATTAAGTTTAGCTCCCGCTGCATTATTAAGCCAAATGGTCTCCAAGTGACCATCAACTGTGACCCAACCGCGCAGCGCGTTTGTTATCTTATCACTTAACGCTACAAATACACCTGCAAGAAAGTGAAAACTGGCCGAGGAGCAAACAGAGAATCAAAGGAGAATTTAGTAGATTCACCACAAATGGCCCATTAAGTGAACAATCACCACTTGCGTCTTATATGTCTCACAAACACGTCACACGTCTGTGGCCCGAGATGCCAGTTTTGGATAGTGAAGCTTCTTATCCGACTTAAAGATAGCAGTAGGCATTGAAACCTCCAATAATTGCTTTGGAAAGCTATTTCAAGAGACCATAAAGGTAGTTTCTTGAACGCAACTTGTTATCAAGGGTTGTAAAGCTGGAACAAAGTAAAGATGACGGAAGAATATTGACCGATAGATATGAGGAAAGACCAGAAGGCAACGAACTAAAAGGTTGGTTGTAGTCATATGAGATTTCAATCCTGATACGATTAGAACGGTGATTTAACATTAACGGCTACACACAATACAGAAATTTACTGAAGTGCCTGAGAGAACAGGGGACTAGTAGTTGTAGTTTCAAAAAAAGCACTTCCGACTTTACAGGGATTGACTTATTCCCAAGATGACACCTGGTTGACTTGGAGTACACAGACGAAATCATGCACGATCCTCTAAACCCCTTGAGCAGATATCTGAGTATGCTTGATATGAGTTTCGGACCCTTAAAATGTAAAATGACGTTTCAGTACTGGTTTGCACCGACTCCTAGTTTAAGGATAAGGAGTGAGTTGGTAGAATGCGTTGACCACTTCCCCTACTTGTAGAGCTCCTTCAACCAAAATCACTTGATTGTTGATGAAACTTCAGCTCGGATACAGAAGGTTCAAACAGTATTTGCCTATTTACGTCATTTGTAATGCCAGAAAGATATCCGACTACCTAGTGAAGGACGAGTATACTGTGCTGCAGTTCGCTCCATTGCATTATATTGATGAGACAAGGCCGCTGAAAAAAAAAACATGAAAAGGCTACAAGTTTCTGACCACAGCCGCCTTCATGATATTGCTGACGTATGGTCGGACCGCTGTGTGAGCAATTACAAGATAAGGTGAAGAGTAGTAAACTAGGGAGGCAAATTACTCGATGAAGTTGTAAACCTTCACTGACTGATGTTATTTGGAAAGGTGTTGCACATACCGAGCCACCGCCTACCTTGACATACAATGTTTCCTGAAGTAGGATTTGGTCAGAGGAATGAGACCGAGAAGTGGCACTAGTGCATGAAGTCTTCGTAAAGTAATTCATGCGGAGAGGTGTAGGTTGCCCAGCAGGAGTCCTCGAGATTGGTTGATAGACCCTGGTGAAACAACTGAAAATCAACTAAGATGGCGAGGATATATTCAGTCTTTGACGCCTTTAAAAAGTCTGAACATTCGTGTTAACCTTCAGTGATCCCTTGACTCTCTTCCCGAACACTTTAGTCTACCTTAATATCACTTATTTTCTATCCACTTCTTTGCACGTTGCTATGAAGTGACAACTTAAAAACATCAAGTTCTGTGTCAATTTGCGTATCTTATATATCTCCTGCTAGCTGTATACGAGAAACGCATGCTGTACCATCACCAGTATGAATGCGTACCTGGACCACCACTACGGTGTGAACTAATTGCACCGAAAGCAACTGCTTTTAGTCCGAAAATTACCTAACAAATTACGGTAGGAATTCAAAAAATAACCATTTCAAACAACGAACCTCCTTTGGTCATTAGGGTACGCAGGCACAACCGTCGTGTCAAGGTAGAAACCATCGATTTGGCTTCATTCCTGACAATTTCATCATGATGCACAATACAGATGACATGAATTTAAAATGATAAAGTGCCATTGACTGACTGGAAATATTGATCTTCCAAAGTGGAAACATTTGGGGTCAAAAGCAATGAATTCAATGAATTTATCGGTAATTGAAGCTATTCTAGGCGAAATTCAGTCCGTTACTAAGTAAACGTTTAGTATTTGAATAAAACGGCACTAACCTAAAAACTTTTCTAAGCACTCTACAGAGACCTAATCAATCTTTTGACACAGAAATGCTAGTGAGAACAAGCGATGAAAACTGTTAGTTGCATTTGAATAAACCAACCCCAGGACCATGCAAAATCAGAAGACTATCTGTTTTGTCAGAACAGTAGTGCTTCTATTGTTATTATTATTATTAGTCCCTTGGGTTCCTAATGGAACATAGGGCTTCAGTAGCACGTCTCCAGTGACCTCTGTTCTCTGAGATCTTTTGAACCTGGTTCCACGACAGCCCAGAAGCTCTCATTTCCTCCTCGCATGATCTCCTCCATGTCACCCTCACCTCGGATGCCCAACTCGTCACTTCCCATGGGGATTCCACTCGAGGGCCTGACGCGTGATGACCCCAGTTGGCCTTCTCAGTGCATGCCCAATCCATCCCCACTTCCTCCTGCATATTTGTCGCGTGATAGATTCCTGGTTGGTTCGTTCCCAGAGTTCCTTGTTGCTTATTCTTTCTGGCCATCTGATCTTCAGTAGCGAGCGTAAGCAGTTGTTGATGAATGTCTGTAGTTTGTTGGAAATCACTTTCGTAATGTGCCAAGTCTCTGAACCATACAGAAGCACTGACTTGACGTTGGTGTTGAAAGTAGTGCTTCTATATTTGATAATAATTAATATATAAACCCGTACACTTGTATTTGAGGTGATTTAAAACCAAACAACGTAAAAGTTACGATTAGCAAAAGGTGAAAATGACAAGTTCATTCTGGCTGAAAGTTAACTCATTACCTCGATGAATCAGAAAACAGACAGTCAAAGAAAAGTAAGAAATTGTGTACGAAACGTCAGTTACTCATAACTGAATATTACAGTACCCGTACCCTTACCTTTTTCGACCAAGTAGGCTTTATATGGAAAGGCGACTTTAGGTCATAAGGCGATTTTCAAGGTCAGAAATGCATTTTCCGTACTGAGAAATGCAAAGAAACCCAGCAACAATGCAGGTTTTCTCAACCTGAACTTGCTTTTTAATAACAGGAACATGAAAGGCAATACGTTAGTGAGTCACACCAAGTAGCTACATTTCGTGATAGTAAACTCAAGCGTCAATACGGAGGTCCAAAAAAACAAACACAAATAAGATAAATAGAACGGTATGTTTACTATTTAGATAGGAATGAAATGTATGCACGATTATACGGTTTGACTGACTTAAGGATCTTACGGTGTCCCCCTAATGAACTTACCATTATCTCGATAGAGCACTAACAAATTCACATTTCATCACATGGTTAACCAATCATCACGAACTCTAGTGAGTAGTGTGCCAACTAGTGATAACTCCGGAAAGTAACACTACGTATCAAAAAATAAATACAAAGTCATCAACATACCTGACCACAAGCACAAGTTATATCTTGTTTAATTTTTAAAGCATCCTTTTTAAATCTTGAATCCCATAACGATGGATAAAGTATATTCGTGTAATTTTCGAGAAGTGAGCGGGCTTCATGAAACGTTGGGAACATCTTCAAAAGAAAATTCATGAAACAGATGTTACGTTCCACAGAAAACCTAATAACTGATGTCCACGGTTACAACTTAACTTACCAATTCATTTCCAGATACTGACAGCCCCGAAGTTACATTTATTGCTGGTAGTGGCGATGGATGCTTTAATCTTGACAGACCTGTCGAAACAAGAGTTTTGCATGCTTGAAGACATTCCTCAGCTTGAGATTCTAATCGTTTCATAACCAATTCCATTTGATAATCCATTGTTCCACGGCAGTCATCAAAAATCGGTGATGGGGACGTCATCAGAGTTAAGGCTTGAGTTTCAATTTCTTCTACTTTATTTACTAAACTATCCCATGAATCTGACAGAACACAGACATTAATAAATATCCTTATTAAATCAAACACCAATCAAAATGATTAACAATATGTAAAAGTTTATACAAGACAAGGTTGTCCAATAAGCTAGTACAGACAATTTGACGCAAATGCGTGAACATGGTAGCTAGATTTGAACCCGTGGCCCAAAGAACAACAATCACAGACCTAAGCCAGAGTTTCAGCAACTAAAACAGCGATCGAATATGACATCGTGCGTCATATCATGAAAATAAGTATTGTTCAAGAATTAATAATACCGTATAGCTCTGCAGACCAAAACAAATGGGTAGCCAAATCAGATGCTGGTGGCTCAATGCCTACAATGTTTATTCACATATCCGTGAAGGAGGATAACATAGATCAGAGGTCAGTAATATTTACTAGTTACCAGTCGTCGAAATGAATATCTATACGACAATAAATCAAGCGCGTGGTCATCGGTTTTTGTCAAAAAGCCTACGATAGCTAAAAAGCAAAAGGAAAGATGTCATGGATTGATACTATTCTCAAATTTCTTTCACTCTAACACAAATACATAAACTCAAAGCCATGAAAAAGTATATTATTATAGGTTGCTACACATTCCAAGATTGCCATTATGGCCGATTTCAAAACGTCACCGACAATTTTTCTAACCATAGACTCTGATGCTCTCAGGCACCCTAACCAAGTAGCTTACACTCTTCAGACTAAGTCTCCATCCGATGGTAAAGGCATGTACCCAATCCTGAGGTTCACAGGTCAGTTTGTGTGTTAGTGATCGTCACTTATTGAGTGAAGTTACCTCGAAACACTAACTGACGGACATGACACATCCTACAAATGTTGTCCTAATGACTCCTATACCTTTCAGTTTTTGCAAGCCATCAGAAAAGCGAAGATGACCAGCGAATATGGGGCTGTAGGATGAAGGTTAGCTGTGTCACGTTAGCATCTGTCAGTTATTCAAGAGACCACTCGAAAATATTTTTCGATCACACAACTAAGTGGCAATTTAGCCTTTCCTGTTTCCTGGAATAGAAAAGTAAAACGGAATTAATGAACGCCCCTCTGAATATGCCTTCTGAAACTGCTTTCTTGATAATACATCCTCTTTCAATCCGCTCCTCTTTCCCCCACGATATGATACTTTTATGTTATCATAATACTGTCATATCATTGTGCGATGCCCATGTTTTACTATTGTTCTGTTTTAAAGAGTTGCTTTGACAAAGATAAATGGTAAACAAAATTAAAGAACTAATGGTCATGGACTATAGACCAAAAGAATGGCTATATTCAGTACAAAAGCACATAAAAATGAAACATTTTAGCTGGATTTCATGGGATGACAGACGAAAGCGATTGAAGATTCTGAATAACGCAAATAAGAACTAATAAGAACTGAGTATTAGAATCCATTCTTTACCAATCTCTTACTATTATACCTGCTCATTCACTATAGCCTCGTAGACTTCTGGTTTATTTTAACACTATTCGCCGTTTCTTCTGTAACTAGCATTGTGAGGTGTAGCAAATGATTAGCTATTACACCAAATCTTGAGATTTCAGTCAGTGGTTTTTAAATTATGGCACTGAAGCATAGTAACTTAGGGAATCGATTACCTATGTTAGGAGCATGATCCGAGCGATGTTACTAGCACGCATTCGGTTTAAATGGTACTATGAATACGCATAAACTACAGTACTTAAGGTATCTTTCAAATATTCAGTTACCACTCACTTCAAGAGATGTTGAAAAGGGTTAGTGCAAATGAATTCTTGAAGCAATCGCACCAGTAAATAGCATTCTCAGAAGTTACTGATAGTTCCTATAAGTAAGTTTTGTATAAGCTGTATACGGTTACCATGAAGAAGGACAAGTATAACAAGTATTTATACAGACTTTCAGCTATACTAGTCAGAATTGGTTAACGTAACTCGATTAATGGTCGTAGCTGATTGCCTAGTGTAAAAACCTGTCCTTGGTCGCTGAGATGCATTTTGCGTTTTCCTTCACGTATTCTTGATAATCATAGTTTTGTTCGCTTTATATCTCATTTGGTTATGTTAACTACCTCCAACTTTGTTCAGTTTGGTCATAATGACTACAAATTGTGCTCAAAAGTACCGAGTTATACATTGAGTTGTAAGCTTCACACCTAGTGGTAACAAAAACACTTTTGAGTGACGAATTTATGACTATTTTACATAATTATGGTATGCAGTCTGTCAACCTACCACTATTGCGATTTCCTTGGTGAAAATGGAAGTAATATGGATATATTGTAGCACCTGTTCAAAGCGAGCACATGTCAGTTCACGTAAGCGGAGTTGGATTTTCTGAGGATTGTAGACAATAGATGTAACCTATTAAAATCTCATGAAAACAACCGAATATAGGCAGACAAACACATTATAACGATATCTCACGAAATCTGTGGATCACCACCAGAGGACTTTAGCTTGTGATATCTTTGCTTCACATAAAAAAGCGATAACTTAAAGGACAGAATTTCAGCGAAGTCTTTGTTCACATCAGTCAGTTTAAAATTTTCTGTCACAATAAATACTAAAGCGGAGAGTACAGTTAGCAGCAAAGCTGTAAATTACTAACCCAACTTATAAAACTATTGAAGCAATTTCTGTAGTCGAGCAAAACTAAAGCCTGAACATTACGATCGGACAATTAGGATATTTGCTGAATTATTAAAGCTTGAAACTAGAGTAAACGAATTACATTTTTATTACCCCAATACATTTGCACGTCTAAATAGTTTTGAAAACATGTGAAACTGGTAAATAAGCAGCTAATAAGTAGATATGCTGAGTGTAACTGAGTGGGATAAAGCACTTCTATGCCATATCCCGTGCACTATCGGCTATACAGAAAGGTGACAGCAGCAAGGTTTTTTTCGGGGATATGGCATTTTCATGTCATTCTTTCGACCCTAATAAGAGTATATTTTGCTTCTTAGCACATGGAGTTCCGACACTGAAGGAAAAGGGCTTTACAGTATAGTTACCTGTCTTAAGCATTAAAGGCTCTAGCTCAATAATTCAATCTTCAATAAACCAACTCTCTTGTGAGGTACCTTAAAAATAACAACTTTAAGGCAGGAAGTTCCAACCAGCAATTAATAGATCCGATCTGACGGCTACCGACCTCGATTCAAAGGTAGGCATGATTCATTTCTCTAAATGCCATTACGGAAACAAACAACCATACCAGTATTATGCATCTCCTAGTAAAAACCTTGCATTTTATCACATGTAACTGATTACAGAAATGTGTATAATATGAAATATTACATGTACGTGGTACATTCTGCGTGTACAGGAAGTGACTTCCACAAAGCCAGAGACAGAGTGTGTATGAAAACTTACCCGAAGTAGGATTTTCACTTTTAGAGCGCAAATTAGTCACTTCAACTCGAACACTAATTATGTTGTTGATTATCACACTGAACAAATTTTCACTCGACTTTCTAACAAATCCACAAAACCTCGTGTCGGCTTCTGCAGGAGGAATCTTCGGCAAACAGCATTTATGACCTGGACCTTCATTTTCAGCATTTTTTGTATTCTTTGTGTTATTGACATTGTGGTTAAGTGAAACAATTGTTTTAAATCTTTCTTCCAATAGGTCTGTGACTTTAGCGACCATAAGTTGGGATTTACGGAGACGTCTTTCATATGTTTTAACTGCACTATTGGACCTGGAGATTGCATAAATCCACGCATCATCAATGTTACAAAAGACATCGGGAATAAGATCCCCACTCATTCACTGTGAGACGTAAGCGTTTGAAAGTCCGCACTACCATCCAACATCCAACAATAGTGCGAGTAGAGGAAACTTGTGGTTTTTGAGCTTCCGTTTCTATGGCTTTATGCTTGGTCCTTTTTATTCTGTTATACTCCTTTGTTAGTCTCATAAATCCCTAAGTCTTTCCTGCTTATAGCTTTAAAAGTAGTGATTTTCTAACTGACGGTATTTTCCTTGCAAATTGTAGCTTGGTTTGTTTGGGGGCAAAGGAACTGCCGAAGCGATCAATTAACCTTTTGCAATTCCCGCTGTCATAAGCACTCGCAAGTAAGTACTAAGCGTTACATGAAAGGTGCTAGCAATATGGGGGTGGGGGATGAGAAAAAGAGGAGTGAGAAGTCCATATGGAAAGATAATTGTTACCGGTAAAAATATGGAGAAGAGATGCATCTTATTGCGGATGCCAGAGTTTAGGAATACGGGGATGGATGAGCATATCTTCAACTGCTGTTGACGAACGTTCATGGTAAGCCATTTGCTATGTCGTACTTATCCAGTAGTCGTTCGAAGGAGTCGACTGATGTAACTGCGGCTACCTTCCTCCACAAGGCGTTTCATAAAGCATATGCTCTGTGTGAGAAGTTTGATCTCAATCGCATCTTTGGCCTATGGCGTGGTATGCGAGTGAGGTCCCCGCGTGACTGTAGGTTTTAGGCCTGTAATATTGACCTAGTGGGATGGTCCACCTGGTGAATGATCTTGTAGGTCATTACTAGGTCACCTGGTCTCTTCTGACAGCTTAATGTGAGCAAGCTGAGCTGCCAGAGACATGGCTCATATGCTTTGCCTGCTAGTCTGACAACCGAGCTTGTCGCTCTCCTCCTTACCTTCTCGAGAGCACTTCTCTCTTTAGTAGTGGGGGGCTATCGTGTCGAATACCTCAAGGCGTGGTCTAACATTGGTTTTAAATACCGCGAGGAACAATTCTAGGGTTAACATTCAAATCTGTCTTCTCAGAAGGTTCATGATGGCTTTCATCTATGCCGCTATGCCCTTATAATTGTCAGTAGTATCCAGTGTGTGAGAAAAGTTGGGTCCAGGTTCCTCCTCTTGGATATCTCGGTGGTTGTGCACTTGCTGAAAGTGTAGCTGGTTTTCATCTCTTCTGGTGTGCGAAGAAACACCACTTTATGTTTCTGCAGGTTAAAGCTTAAATCCTTCTCAGCTGACCAGGAATCCAGGTGCAACAGGTAGTCTTGGAGTATGCTAGGATCCCCTTCAGGGATCACTCCTTGACAAACTCCTGTTCTTCCTCTCCTCCAGGTTGACCGACCTCTGTCTGCTTCAGTGCAGAATTCTTCTTCCTCTGGATATACTGTAAACCACGCTAACAGCCGTCTAGTGATACCCACTCTTGGAGGTTTATGGAGCATAGTGTAGCGTGGGATGCTATCCAAAGCTTCGGTTGGGTCCAGAAAGATAACGTGGGCTAGCTGCTTGTTGTACCATCTGGCGGTCCCGTCGTACCAAGCGGTCACCAAGTTTATGGCACATGACCGTCCAGTCTGAAGCCATGGTCGGTGGGACGACCGGTGTTTCCGCTTAGGTAATCTGAAACAACATCTGCTACCAGGCTTCTCAGCACTCTGGACAGTACAAGAAGTTATGCCAGCGGCCTGCAATTACACGGGTTTCTTCGGTCTCCCCCCTTAAAGATTGGCGAAACAATAGCGTATCTTCATTCTTTGGGGAGTTGACTTACTTCCAATGAGTCCGTGAACAGGTTGCACATTTGTATGCTTAACACGTCTCAGGATCACCGGTCTCATATCATCACAACCCGGAGATTTCCATGTTCTCAGTGTTGAAAGTTTTGCAACCACCTGGTTTTCGCAAAATCTTTACATTCACCAGCTTTGTCATCAGCTTCGTTATCTACCTGGCCTGCGTGAACTTTGGGCTATCCTTTTTACTGCAGAATGTATTGCATCTAATTTTTTATTTCTATGGTGTTTTGATCGTTCAGTTATGTCAACCAACAGCATTGCATTATCTCGAGCGTCTTTAAAATCATTACAACCTATCGCTTCACAAGTTGATGTGCAAATTGACAGGAAGCACCACGGAAGATGGCAACGGGCCCCCAAGCTTATGGCCATAGATGAGATGACTAGTCCTTAAATACTGAGCACAAACTGCAGGTCGTTGCCGAATAAAGTTGATTACCTTCAGTCACTCTTGCCTACGAATGTTTATCGAAGCACGGGTTTAGTAATGCTACAGGAAACATGGCTTCATAACCTGTATGACGGTGATTTAGTTTGCTTAGATGGTTTCAAATTATTTCGATAAGATGAAGGCTTTTCCAAGAAGATTTGTGGTGGTGCTGTAGCAACATCTATCAATGCAAACTGGTCCCTCTCTAACTATGTACGCTTCTGCTTCTCTAGCGAAAAAATTGAGCGCGTTACCATCGAATATCGTCCCAAACATTTGAGCAAATACAAACATGTATATATGACAAACATTTATGTTACACCTGACAGCAGTTTCTCAGATTTGACAACTTTTGCTGGCGTATTAACTGAATTCGCCGTTCCGGTTCTGGGTAAGTCCTTGCCTACAGTCTGTGGAGTTTGTGCAGTTTTCATTGGGTCATAAAAATAAAGCTAACCTTTTCACTTGTCTTGACAACACCCTAGACTTAATATTTACCATCTTAGAAGAAACCATGAATTTCACTTAAATGTTTATAACTTCATCAGACGCTTGTACATAGGTATATAATAAGTGAATACCTGGTCCAAAATCCTCTAATCCCTCTATTTCGTAGTGATATCCCCAGCTTCAGACTGATTTTTATTACTGTCGTGCTCACCTTCATCTTTTTCCACCTAAGCTTACCTCTAAACAGTTGGTTCTGCATACTTCTTGAAGTAAGTTTTACAGTCAGTACAAAGCATTCACCCAGATGTATCATGGTTGATCTACTCCTGAGTATTTTTGTGCTCCTGTTTCGAATTTCGCCTGTTGCTCGCTTTTGTTATTCACTTTTCAAGTTTACCTAGCCAGTCCTGCATTCAGATGGAATCCTACAAATCGCATTTGTCAGTGGGAAATATTGCCATCAAAACCTTATGACGAGCGCGCACACCTCAGGGTCATAAATGTGATGCGGCCTCACGTTCAAGAGTATTGGAAGATTCAAACGATAACCGAATAATCCTCAAATTCGAACTGAGCCTGCTTCAACACACCTCTTATATGTCATAAATAACGGTATCTAAAGTATAGCTTAACCCTGTACATAATGGTCGTTTCCCATTACCAAAATGATCAAACCTGTATTCATGTAACCTTTGTTGTATGAAATATAAAAATATTATTATTATTAAATGAACCTGATATATATGAAATCCGTAAAAGAACTCCGCTGCTAGGTTCTGACCACTGTAATGTTCGTGTGTTGCCTAAAGTGTACGGCAAATTACACAAGAAAACTTTAGGATACTTTCCCAGAAAATGTCAATACGGATGATGTTTACGAGAGAATGTATTACGTTTGAGAAGCAAGCTTATGGAAACAGACTGGGATATACTTGCCGATGAAGTTTTAGACAACACTATCACCAATACCACGAGCTATCTCAGGTTCTGTCTTGATATCCGCTGCCCTGCTGAAACAATCTACATGAGATTCGACAGGGTTTCCTCTCCTGGTCTCAAGAGGCTCCGGAGAGAAAGGGAAAGTTTGTATAAGGTTAGGGACCACCCTGGCATTAAAAGACTTAAATGCCTAACTAGGTCTGAAATACAACGTCAGAATACCATATACAACCAGAAGTTCGTATCGCGTAAGAACTCCTCTAATATGTACCGGCAGAAAACACGTGACAGGAGAAACGTGTTTAGATGTCTGCACGTCAAACAATTTATTCACACATCGGCAAGCTGACTCCACCCTTTCTAATGTCTAAAGTCAAGTGGATGGCTGCTTTCCAGGTTTTAATAAACATGATGCATTTGAATGTCTAAAATCCTTGAATCCCTCCCGGAGAGTAGGTTTTGGTGGTGTTTCTAGTATTATATTCAGAAAATGTGCAGATATTTTATGTCATCCCATTACAGATATCCCCAATGCATCGCTTTCTAAAAACATATTATTCACCTCTTGGAAGGAGATAAAAATTGTACCTGTGCCTAAATCATCTTCTGGACCGGATGTTTCCTTTCGACCCATCGCTATAATTTCCCCTTTCCTGAAGACAATGGAGAAACTACTTCTCATGACTGAGCCTTCATTGATGGTTTTCAGAGATCCAAGACAGTTTGCTTACAAACGCCGGAGGAATACTTTGGATGCGCCCACTGTCTAGCATCACAATATTGTTTCTAGTCTTGACAAAGGTGTTGAGAGTGTTCGTTGTGCCTTTTTGGATTTCTCATCGGCCTTTGACTCTGTTCCCAGGCCGCTGTTGTTAAACAAGCTGGCCATGGCTCAGTATGGGCCGTGGGTTACAAAGTGACCGTATTCTTATTTTTCTGAAAGGAAACAGTACACTATCTATAAAGAGAAGCGCCCCACTTCATTGCTTATTGAAGCTCGTGTGCCCCAAGGTGCTGTACTTTCTCCACTTCTGCCTCCGTTTTTCTCATTATTTACCTTATCTTGTTGAAACTAATCTTATTAAGTATGCTGTTGACCTGATGATGTCTATTCCAGTTAACTCTCACTTCGATTGCTCTATGTCAAATGGATTCTTGTCTACGGTTGGCTAATGGTCTCAAGTTACACCCTTCTAAATGTCAGACTGTTAATTTTATTCCCTGGCGTAAGGAAGACTTGTGTGAGCTGCCTGAATCTTATGACGCCTGTTGCATTGATGGTATTTCTGCAGAAAGCAAATCGAGTGTCAACTATCTTGGGCTGAGTTTTACTTCTGACCTTTGTTAGTTGTCTCATATTTTGTTGACTTGTAAAAAATCTTTCGTTTAAGTTGTTACGCAGAGAAATTGAGGCCCTGCGGCATAACTCAACCTTTTCTTTTACAATTTGTTAATTCCCGGATTTTACCTATTCTTCTA